TAACCAATCAGATAAAATCAACATAAACTTGTTTCAGCAATTATTAAACAGAATATAACCTAGGTAACTGTAACACAATAGAACATAATGCTCAAATATAAAATGAAAATAATCAATAATTTAACATAAGCTTACAAAATTAACTGCTGGAGATCGCAAAAGACGTCGGCCTTAAAAAGTACGTTCGAGACAACAACTGCCGGTGTTCTGGATTCAAGTTATGGCTGAATACTCTTGAGATCGCCACAATAGCACCGTTGCTATTTCCGGCATGCTACCTGTGTGAGGCGGGCGTTTTTGTGCCGCAACGGCGACAAAAACAAAATTACGAAGTAGACTCGACGTAAAGCACCCACTTGAGGTGTCATTGTCTCCTATTACCTCGAGATGGGACCGCCCGGTTGCAGAAAATCAAGCTCGGGGCTCGCACTCGATTCAGCATTGTGGTGAGTTGACATTTTCATGCACTTTGAATTTGCGTTGTATCGTATTTTGAAGGCATTAAACATGACCATAGCGATCAGAGTGTTGCGGCCAGATTAGACGCTCCTCGTGTTTATTATTATCTCTCGAAAACACCACAGCGTTCATGAAGCTCTTACCAAATTATTTGTAGTATTTATCTGCCACACCTTAAATGCCGGTCCGTGAAAATATTGTCTGACAAAAACAAAAAAGGTTGGGGACCCCTGGCATAGACAACGATGCATGACTGGATGTTTTGTTAGACAAGTTATTTTGTAGAAAAATGACAAAACTAGACAATTCAACAAAAAAAAATCGTAATGTAACAAACGACTTTTCCAAATGGCGTCCACTCTGATGGCTTTACACGGCAACAGGTAAAACGCACATCAACACACACACACACACAACAGCCAAAGATTGACACCAAGGACCAAATTATGATTTGCATCCTCCCCCCCACCCCAACAAAAAAATGGTGTCAGGTTGCCTAGCATTTTGTGTTTAATGAGTGACTTTCAACTGAACGTTTTGAGCAATAATCCTGAAAATGGTGGCAGCTTTTTTTTTATTTTATTTTTTATTTAAAGATTGTATTTGTAGGCTTTTTCTCATTCCTCACTTAATTTTAGCTTTAAAGGGCCTTAGGTTTTGTGTTGGGGGGGTTTTCTAACCTGTAAGGCGAATGTGAGGGCAACACTGTTTTTTTCATTAAAAGTCATGGGGATTTTTTTTTTTTTTTTTTGGACAATGTTCTGTTACGAGGGGAAAAAAAAGTCGGGAGAATGAAGTTGCAACGTTCAGCAGGGGCAAAAGCCTTAAAAACATGACAGGAGAAAAGACGTGGGGAAAAAAATGAATAGTTTTATTCGGAATTATTTTTATTTGACCTTTTTATAACATTTCCATAATATGAAGTCTTCAAATTATGATTTTTCCGCTTGTCAAAGCACAATTTCTTTCATAATGGACCACCTTTTTCTCACTGTATTTGACACACAACATTGAAACTACCAAGAAAAAAAACAGTAACTTTTTTGTCTTTGTTTTTTTTTCCTGGTACAAAGACTATTCAATGCGTTGCAATTTTGTGGGTAATCCCAACTTTTTTTCTGGCAAGAGTTTCTTGTACTGCACCGATTTCTCATTGCTTTTTTGTAAGGGAAAAAAAAACCCACCAAAATACAATAAAATGATAATTAAGTTGACTTTTTACAAGACGAAAAAAGCCCACTAGAACAATACATGTGACGAGACTAAATGGCATGAGAAAAATAGTTACGTGATGGGGAAAAAAAATTCATGTTTCGAAAAAGATCATGAGAAAAAGCTTTTCTCAAAGCATAAAGACATTGAAATTTTTCTTGCTTAACTTAGTGGCCCTTTATACTTCTTCATAAACATGAGACAAATGTTTATTTACTCAGAACGATATACGCATCTCATCTCTTTTTGTTGTTTTTAAATCATTTGAGACAGCAAATTTTGACTATGCGCTGCCGCCTGTTGGCACAAACGTGCCAGACACACACACACACACACACACACACACACACACACACACACACACACACACACACACGCCCACAACAAAACGTGACCTCACCCATTTCTGCATCGCTGAAGGCTTAAAAGTGTCCAAAATGGTGCTTTGACGCCTCCGAAGCTGTGAAAAACAAAAAGAGCCCAACTGTTTATAACATGTCTGTTTTTTAGTAGCGACAAAAGTGGGTTATAAAAAAAAAAAAAAAAAAGAAGAAGAAAAGGAAAAAAAAAGCTGCAATTTTCACACTACCTCTTTTCTGCTAGCTGTGGTCTCACCGTCCTCGGAATGAACAAAAACCAAATGGGCACAAAGGGACCAGGATAAAAAAAAAAAAATTTTAAAAAAAAGAGGATGAATCAAACCCAAAGCTCATACAGCTGCGCAAAACCATATCACCACTCGCTAACAAAGCAGACCTCATAGCTAACTCAGTACAGTGGTACCTCTACTTACGAACGTCTCTTCATACGGAATTTTCAAGTTACGAAACGCCTCAACAGAAAAATATTGCCTCTTGTTGCGAAAGAAATTTCAAGATACAAAACGTAAAAATACAGTATTGGTTGTTACTCGCAGCTCTGAGTTTCCTGAACGCAACATACTTAGAGCTGATCTGCCATTGGCTATTACCGAGCATCATCCTGGCATCCCATTGGCTAAGAGGGACCTCTACCGTATGTGTCTATGCATGTAGAGAGATAAATAGATATAGATAAGTGTCTATGCAGCGACCTCATCATTTGCCCATCGGGCCTTGAGGTGTTCGGATAGTTTTACGTAATTGTGAATCACCCAGAAAAAGTCTAGCGATCGCTCACTATGCTGATGTTTGCCTTGGAAATTTTCGAAGGATTGTTAAAAGCCGACAAAAGCAAACGTCCTTGGATCAGTTCTTTACAAAACGGCAGGCAAAAAAAAAAAACATTTCTGAGAGGGAACATTTACTAAAGAGGGCAAAAAAAAAACGATGAGGACGCAGTTAAGAGTTCAATGATGTCATCATTTTTATTCTTTGGTTTTTATTTTTTACATTCTGCACAACTCTCATTGATTGCGCAATAATCTCATTGTAACATGCATTTGTGACATATTTTGATGCATTTTTATGCTGGAGGAAACATTTGTGTCTGAATTTTGGGCGGGCTTAGAACGAATTAGGGCATTTACATGGAAAACGCGTCTCTACTTTTCTCGTTAAGAAATTTCTTCCAGAACCAATTAATTTCGTAAGTAGAGGTACCACTGTATAAATCCTTTTTTTTTGTTTGTTTATACGAATATTTGGGGGACTTTTTTTACCCCACATGTAGACGCCTGTTGATGAATGCTTGTACAAAAAAAAGGGGGATCGTTATGTTGGGAAGTTGTGATGTTACGAGGAAAACAAAAAACACTTGAGTGGGCGTGCTCCAATGTGATCCGCTCGGGACAAGACTTTGGCGCCGATTGAGGCGATACGGCGACTTGCATACGCCTGCTAAACTTTTGTTTTGACTAATCACGACAACTGATGAAAACGTCATCGGGACGTGCCTGCTTTCGATCGGCTGCGATGTCCATCGGGACGTGCTTGCTTTCGATCGGCTGCGATGTCCACGACTGGCACGGATGAGTGACGCTCGCTGTTTTGGCAAAGTAAACATGCGCATAA